AAGAATTTATTAAAATTTAATTGGATAAATTTCCATAATATCACAAGATTTACGTGATAAACCCGAATTATTAAAACTGGTTCCAACCTCTAACTTGAACAAGCACTTGAAAAAAATCTTTGATAAAAATTTCTTTGATATCAGAATTTTGTTGAAAAAACTTTATTCCAGCTTGATGTAAAGTAGATTGTACAGGTTTTTGAGTTTTTAACTTATGCTCTTCCGATTTTAAATGGTTATCAATCATAGACTTTTTTTCATGATTTACTACGATTTTACATGCCTTACAAAAAAGTTTTTTGCCACTAGCATAAAAGTCAAGTTTATACTTGAGATTTTTTGCAAGACGTTCTGTAACATTTACCATTATATATGAAAATTTCAATGTAATAAAAAAAATTTTATTTATAAATTTTTTTTTGTAAAAAAAAAATTATGCTGATTTGATTTTTTTTTATATCGTATAAAAAAAAAGATTAAAATTGACCAATCAGAAGGCGCCAATTGTGATTATGCGATTTTGGGTCAAATTATGCTTCGCATCTGCGATGCTAAAAATTGACCTATTATGCGCATCACATCGCATCGCACAAAACTGAGGTCCCTACTAACGATACGTTTCTCACGAGAGATGCCTATTTAAAAATATAAACCCTACCAAAATTCACTTAATACATTTTTATTATCAACACTAGCATAATCCTAAACCAACTATACCGTCCCGGGGTGTAGGTTAAAAATTTGGCCTAAATTAAGCTTAATTCGGACCAAATTTTTTTAACCTACACCCCATGGCGCTATTTCGGTACAAAAAAACCAAAAAGATGCACCCAAAAAAAATTTGAAAATTTTATCATATTAAAATATTTAAAATTTCCAGCTTCAACCGCGACAATTATTTTGGCATAAATTTATGATTAAACATTTTTATAGAAATGTTATGTTAAAAAATTTACCTGTAATGAAAATATCTTTTCTTAATAAATAATATACGATATGAAACAGAATGTTTGTAAAGATCAACTTGAAAACTTGAAATTGAATATGTATTAACGTTAAAAAAGTTTCAACGTAACTTTGTTATAAGCTTGTTTAAAAATATATTTATGCCAAAGTAATTAAAAAAAAAACAGCAACGGTAAAATAATTAGCTCTAAAAACATAACCTGCTTATACCGAAATCAGGCTATAACTTGGCAGAACGGAATTTTTTTTATACGTAATAATTTAGGCTGATTATTATCTGTTATCATTATATCAGTAAAATTTTATATACCGTATCCAAACTCCACAACGTCATAAGATCCAAAGATACTCCGAAAAGAAAATGTAAAATTCCAAGGTTTTCCGAAAGTTTTTTTTTTTTTTTTTAATAAGCTCGTTCTGTGTGTGATTTTATTGATTAGCTCTATATACCGAACAGTTCGATATATAGAAAGTAAGTTATATAACGAACTTACTTTATACTGAATAAAATCTTCCAGAACATGCAGCTCAGTATATACAGAGTCGACTGTACATTAAAATATATAATTAATTTTTTATATAGCGATAGCGATAGTACCACATTTCCGAATACCCCAATTTTGAATGGCCATTTGGCAAACCAGTCAATATAATACCGATATTTCACGAACGGCAGATCAATTTTGAATTAAATGAATACTATGAATGTTAGGATTCGTTTAAATCTCAAATTATCAAAAACGGATTAACCAACTTTGAGGTATCTGAGCATCACTGCGAATGGTCGTTCATTGTATATGAGTGCGCCCAAGGGAAAACCTGTCATCGGACATTTAATTATATTTCGTGTACAGTTAGCTGTCTGTAGAAAATCTATCATCATGATAGATTTTCCATAGACGGCTAACTGTACACGAAATATAATTAAATGTCCGATGACAGGTTTTCCCTTGGCGGCTAATCCATTTTCGATGATTTTAAAACTTCACACGTCAAAACAAATCATGCTATTTATAGCATTCGTTTAAACCAAATCGAAGAATAATTTGACCATCTTTTAAAAATATGGAAAAGATTTGATGTATATTATTTATGAGATGCTAATTTACCGAAACTTAGTTACTGTTACTGTAGGTTAGGGTTAAAAGAGAATTTTTACGTAGTATCGGAGTAGTTTACAGTATATGTACTATGGTGGGCAAAGTAATTTTGTAACGTGTAAGTAATATTAAATATTTATTACATTCTATTACTTATTATGTATGCATATAAAACACACAATAACAGTCGGAGGCGAATGATTAAAATTGAGATTGAACGAAAAGTTGCTGCTAAGAATCAAATCAGTATTATATTTCACAGTAATATTAAGTAGTATTAAGCAGCCATCTCTAATACATACCAAAATTATGATAGAAATTCTTTTTTTTGGTAAGAAAAACGGTTTATAGACAAAATTGAAACTACTTAATTAGTCTTATGATAAAAAAATTTTTTATAAACACATTCTTATATTATATATATTTTATTTATTTAATTTTTTTTTGTGTGAAGCAAATTTAATAAAGCTAATTTAATGCAATAAAACAACTACTATAAAGAAACCTGAATAACTTACAGTAACTACATAGTTACTATCAAGTTTAATAGTAACTATATAGTTACTATACAGTTACCATGCGCATTAAGAAGTCAAGTTTCTGTAAAGTACAAATGGCTTCTATTCTCTAATTCTGCAAAGCGCACTTTTTTTTTTTGACAAAGAATTGACCTTACAGGACTCATCGTCTAATCTACTTATTTTGAATAGTAAAACCGATTACGACCGATTACGGAAAATGTTTACTCTGAAGCCATGCTGATGGCTTGTATAGATTTAAAGTAGGTAATCTTTCTGTACTTCCCCCACGTTACGGATTACTTGACAGTGTGTTGTGTAAATTTTGAAAGAATCATTAAAAGTGCTAAACTAGATTAGGTATACGGAATAAAAGAAGAGGATAAATTGGTCGAATGTGTTTCAACATTTCACGAAACATTGGAAAATAAAGGTAAAAGATCTTTATTATCGCTCACTGTTATTTTTTATTTTCTTAAAGTTTTTTTTTGGTGAACACATATGAACACACAAACATACAGGTTATCTTAACATGTTAATTGAAGATCGATTTCTGACAACATGCTATGTAAGGTATTATATGTGTGCATGAGAGTGAAAACCTGGAAACCGATTTAATGATTTACTATGATCGGTTTTCAGGTTTTCACTCTCACGCACTCATATATATGAGGGTAGCAGGTGGGCATTGTGACGCGCTCGTGTTTTTTGATGATATCTCGTGATACATTAATCAGAATTGAGTAATTTTGGTATCGTTCGATTCGTCTTACTGAGACGAATCCAATAATATAATTTTTTTTTTTTTTTTTTGATTCTAATTGCTAAATCACAAGATATAAGTAAAAGTCGACATTACTTATGACAGTATTAAGTTTCTTTTAATTTTTTATAGTATATTTCCTCATTTGGGTAATGTCCGGAGGAAGGATGCAATACGTAATATAATACGAAACATATAGTGAACATGGTGCGCCATAATACCCCCCAAATGTAAATACAGCATTTTTTGAGTAGATTTGAAAATTCATATTTCAATATTTTTTTTTTATTGGTAAATAGTTAATTTGCTGAGTAATCTATTTAAATGAATTTTGTAAATAAAAACGCTATTCCTAAAAATTTTTATATAAGCAACTCTTAAGTGCGTCATAATAACCTACTCTCCCTTATGTGTTCACCAAAAAAATTTCATTTATTATTTGAAAATCAAGACCGAACCGTTAGAAACCGAAGACCATTACGAACCCTATCTGGAAGATACTTTTATTTATTCAAATACACATCAAAATCAACGTTCATCTTACTATTGACTAGGGGATCTTCACTTTCTACCACATGAAATTAGGGTTCATCATATCATTGACTACTTAATCTTTACTTTCTACCACATGTTTACCAAAAACGTCAGTTTGCAAGTAATTTTAACATATTCTTTCCAAAAAGCATTATTTAAAATAGTAATAAGACCAGATGGTTTGATTAAAATTAGGGCACCGATCCATTAATCATTTATCCATTTATCTATCGGATATCCGGATAATTATCCGAATATCAATAGTAAATGGATATCCGGATAAATTTAGGTATGGATAAGGGATGGTGGATTGGAACTCTAATTAAAACGATAACAATCTTGATTACAAATTAATTTCAACTGAACCACCTAACATTCCCTTCATACATGATTAAATTATTCAGGTTTTCCTTCGACAAACTCATAACGATAAGTGTTAGAAACAAGCAAAAAAAAAACAAAAAACAAATATAACGAGTTTTAGTAATGCATTGTGCATTGTACGGTGAAACAAACATCAAATTTATATTTATAGTTAATTATTATATCAAATATATGGCGTCACTAGACAGATGAACTTTTTTGGAGCTAACGCTAAAATTTTCTTTTACGTACTTAAAAAAAAGAGTATGATCTGCAATTTCTTATTGAATTAACTAAATGTAGTTGCAATTAAGTAAAGAATATACTAATATGCAAATAGTTTGATCAAATGAAACAAATACGTAATAGAATAGAAGTATTATTTTGAATTATCGATGGGAATTACTCAATGATAAATGCTAATTACACAGGTAAAAAAATCAATTTTTAACTAAATAATAACCAGTAATTTCTGGTACAATTATAACTTATTTACTATATATTTACTAGGTAATATATGCATTTAAACATATTAACTAAAAATATATTAAATTACATATATTACCTAGTAATTATATAGTAAATTACATATATTACCTAGTAAATATATAGTAAATATAATTTGTACCAAAAATTACTGGTTATTATTTAGTTAAAAAATTGATTTTTTTTACCTGTGTTAATTATACTAATTAGATGATCGATAAGCCGAATTTGTCTTGTATTACTTATATTAATGCATTGATATCGATATCAATAAATCAAACTCTTTTTTTTTTCACAAGCTTTTTATCCTTTGTAAATTTGGTTTATATATAAGTACTTACTTATAAAACCTAACATTTGAATTCTTCGTTTTAATCTCTATCATATTTCATTATATTTCTTTATAAATACTTTTTATTTAAACAAATTTCATGATTTAATTTGTAATTATGCCACCCGAAATTTTTGGTTACGATTCAAGTGATCAATCTGAATTCACAGATAAAAATTCTATTGATGTTAATTTTAATGAAGAAAAAAATCCAATTCCTTTAGTTTTAGTCGAAGGGTTTATGGGCCCAGGCAAACCTTCTTATTGGGGTCCATTACAATCATTTTTTTCAAATTCTTGTGAAGATCGACTTTATAATAATGTTAGTGTAGACAAGAAGGAAAGGAAATCATTTAGCAAGACTAGACTTTGTATTTTCGTAACACCGGGTTGTGGAAGTTCTTTATATGATAGAGCTGTTGAGATTTTTTATCAAATTAAAGGTGGAAGAGGTAAGCAAACACGTGATGATAGTTGATCGACGACTTATATTTCATATCATATTTCACATCATATTTCATATCATAGTTCACATCATATTTTACATCCTTTTTCACGTCCTATTTCACATCATATTTTACATCCTATTTCACATCCTATTTCACATCCTATTTCACATCATATTTCATATCATATTTCACAACATCATATTTCATATCATATTTCACAACATCATATTTCATATCATATTTCACAACATCATATTTCATATCATATTTCACATCGTATTTCATATCATAGTTCACATCATATTTCATATCATATTTCACATCATAATTCATATCATATTTCACATCATATTTTATATCATAGTTCACAGTTTATACAATTCTAACCTTTATTCGTAATTACTTAGTCGATTATGGAAAGGAGCATGCTCTAAAATATGGACATTCGCGTTATGGTCGTGAATACCCTGGTATTTATACAGTTTTTATAAAATCGACTACAATAGATAAGTTAATTCATAATTAAAACTTTTATTTAATTTTATTTGATTTACAAGGATTATATCCGGAATGGAGTGTTTCTAAACCTCTCCATTTTCTTGGTCATTCATTGGTAATATATAAACTTAATTTATTCATATTCATCATTTTTATTTATTTGATTTATTATGTCTTTCTTAAATTAAATATTTTTTAAACAATAGGGTGGAGTAACTATTTGGAAACTTCAACAATTACTCGCGAGTGATTTTTTCCCAGCACATTTTGAACCTCATCCTGATATGATTCGATCTCTTACAGCTGCTTCAGCTCCATTCAAAGGTTATAATAATATCAATATTTTTATCATTTTTAACTTTAACAATGTTTTAATAAAAGTTAATAAATAGGAAGTCAAGGTGTTTACATACTAGGCAGATGTACAAAGGACATAAGATCAGTCCGTCCATTTAGTTTTGGTGCTTGGCTTGGTAGATTGGTTCATATTTATGAATATTTTGATATAAAATGGTTAAAAAATTTGACTTATGATTTCAATTGTGATCATTGGAATTTAAGTTTTAAAAAAAATTTAAAATCAATGTGGGATGAATATATTTCAGGTGATTCTAAATGCCAAAAATTGGAGAAAGAAAAAACTTATGGTCTATTTCAATGTTTAATCAAAAGTCCTTGGGTTTCTTGTGAAGATAACGCACCTTATGATATGACAATTCATGCAATGAATGATTTAAATAAGAATAGTCGTACCTTTAAAAATACATTTTATAGAACTTATGCCACTTCTATCGTAAGTATCTATCATAATCAATGATGATATATCTACGCGTATACAATCATCATTTATTTTTATTATTATTTTGAATAGACTCACCAAGATCCACATACAAAATTTCATCGACCTCAATTTTCGTTCATGATTCCGCTTCCAGTTTACCTTCTATCTTGCCAAATGGGTAAATATAAATTTCCACCTGGTACCAAAGAATTTCCTATAGATCCAGAAAAAGAATTACCGAATTGGTACGAAAATGATGGTATATGTCCAAAAATTTCACAAATGCATCCCGGTGGATTTGAATGTAATGATGAAATGTGTAAACATCATAAAGGATTTCCAAACAATATTGATGATGAAATAGTAAATGATAATTTGAAATATGAACCAGGAAAATGGGATGTTTGGGAAATAAATTCCATTTCACATTTTGGTCTTATCCCTGTTTGGTGTGGAACTAAAGAACAAGAATTATTTTTCAAAGGATATAAAGAGTATTTAGATTGTTTGGATAGAATCGAAGTTGATAAAATAGTTAGAAAATGATTCAAAGTATTTATGTAAAAAATTCTATTGTATAATTATAGTCATTAATTCATGTTTTTTTTTTAAAAAAAATAACCAAATTATTTTTCTCAATAAAATAACATTAACATTTTATGTTAGATAAAAATTAAATTGAAGGCAAAACAAGTTTTGTTTATTTATAAAAATTTTTTAAACTAGATTGTATCTCTAGGACGAAAGAATTAAAAATTAATTAATTTGTATTTAAAATAAATCTTACATACATGAGTATATGTGATTTCGCCTTTTCATTTAGTTTAGATATTTCATAATCGTCAAGATCTTTTTTTTTTATTTGAACATTAATGGTTATTCATTAGGTTAATAAATAGAGATAACAAAAGTAGATGAGAAAATAATTGAGCTAACCTATACGTACAAGTTATGTTTAATATTTTTTTTATCAAGTTATAATATCAAGTTGATAATTCTGGGTTTTTTTCTATTATATATAACTAACAGGTTAAAGCAATTATTACAGATCTTGTGCTTTATGTAACGTATAAAAAAAAAAACCTTGTCTCTAATTTTTTTGTCGATACTACTGTACTCGAAATTTTTATTAGAAAATCTTTTTTTTCTTCTATTCAAAATAATAAAACCTTATATATTTTGTGTTCTAAATTAATGCAAGAATTTCGAAATCATATTCCAGTAATTAAAAAAATTTTTGTTCATTAAAGAATATTTTTTACGAATTAATGGTACGAATTTCTACGTCTTGATGTAAAGGTGGCATGAAAAGTTTCCTCCATTTAATTACTATAATCTCTTTGTTATCATCAATGGAATTGGAAATCAAAATTGGTAGTAAAACTGAATCATTTAGTTGAATACATTCAACATCGAAAACTAAACTCCTGCATGCATGCGAATTGCACTCAAACAATGGTAACACTAATTCATTTCTGTATCAGTATTTTTGTACTAAACTTTAATTTATGATGAAACTAGTTTCAGGTTCACGAGATGAAACGTTTCGAATTAGCATAATCATACATCTCATACTACATATCTGCATATTCAAGTATTCTTAAATAATGAAAAAACGTTCAAAAAGCAATTCGTAATCAATTTACTGATAATTTTAGTTACTTGGTTCGAAAGTAGGCTTATGCCGTAATTAATAATGTAAATAGTTACGGCATAAGCTGTAACAGTTTCTACCATATCTCTAAAATTTGTCCCTAAATACAAATGAGATGATTGTGCTTTAATTTGAATTCATTGTAAGTTATCGCAGAATCAACATTCTTTCTAGGATGTTACAAAAGTTTTTAACTTTGAAACTGCATGTCAACCCTCTAAAAAAAATATTTATATACCCCTTAAATAAAAGAATCCCGAATATTCATCCATTATAAAATGCATCACAATAAATATTGTAATGGTTAATTTGTAATTTATTATTTAGAAGTAAATAAATAAACAAAAAAAAAAAAGTTTTGAATGGTAAGTCGGAGAAATGCACAATTCTAAATAATGATGAATGGTCTGGTGAAACTTTTGCCTTAAAAGATACTCTGCAATGGAGATTGTGTATTACGTAAAGGTTACTCAGGTTAAATCTATTAACCGGGTCATTGTTATCGTTATAGGTAACTGGAAATGTTTTCGTTTAAATAATTTCGGTTACTAACCGTTTACTTTGAATAGGTACAAGCTCTTTTAGTAATAGAAGATTCGCGTTAAATAATTAAATTTAGTTAGTTCTTTAACTTGCCTGGGTTTATTAACCGTAAATTCGAATTTTGGTTTGTCTTGTAGAATTTTTAACGTGTTCTGGTTTATTTGTAACAAATTTCACATGTATCCTACTTTACGTGTTCTCTAAAAACATATGTAATAAATTTTTGCGTATATTTTTATGAAGTTTTTCATTTTTTTAGTAGTATTATTAAACTGATAAATTTTTTAAAAATTATGTAATATGATTGGTTAATTATCACGGGAAACACGGGTAGATCCAATGTCTTCCTATGAACGTTATGGGTGAATCCTAATTAGAACATCTCCTGTGATTCGAGAATGTTTGAACTTTATTACTTAATCATTAGACGCGCGATATTAGACGCGAAGATTTATATTTTTTTTTTTAGATGTCTATGACGTTTTTTTATTCAAATATTTTACAACTCTACTTGTCATTCCCCTTTTTCGCAAAAAGGATCGTATTAAAATAAATTATTTTGAGTTTATCTATAATAATTTGGCAACAAAAAGTATTCATTATAACAATCAGCTCTCAAGTTAATATAATAAATAAAAAATTTTATATGAGTGTGGGAGAGTGAAAACCTGGAACTTGAAATTTGGCCCTAAAAATTATGAGCGTAATCTTAATAATATATAATTATATATTACTGAAATTACGCAAGACGCCGATCATAATTTTTTAGGTCAAGTTCCAAGTTTTCACTTTCCCGCACTCATATAATATTCTATTTAATTGATACTTTTAAACTTAGTTTTTTAAAAAAAATTTATGTTACATCAAGTTACAAATACGTATTAATTTATATATCTATATAGCTAGTCATCGTCAGGTTCATATTTAAAGAAATAGAATAGGTGTTTTTGATAAGGTTCACAATAGCTTGTAGCTAAAAGGGGTAAATATGAGACTAATTGTTGTTGAGGTGGGTTGCACTTGGGCAGCATAATTAGGGGAGTTTTGTTAGATTAGGCTAGATTTATATATAAAACACATAGGAAGATGTAGTATCATCAAATTATATCTAAATTAAATATTTTGTATTATTACTTTACGAGTTTAGATTCAAAACAAACACTTTATATTTATTTAACTGGATATAAGAAAATTGATATCGATATATAATTCTGGTTAATAAATTATATAACTAATTTTTTTATAATTTTTGGAATTAATAGACACTAAAAGTAACAACAAACTGCTTAATTATCTTTAACAGTAAAATGTAATGGTAGCGATAAAAATTTAATTTTGAAGTATAACACTTTTACCGTTATATTCATACAAGGAGAGTTATAATTACTTATGTAATTGCTTAATGTTATTCCACTTAAACTGATTAATTTGTACTTCGAAACCCACTCAAATACTGTTCCGAATACAAAATAAATTAGGTTTCGAGCTCTACTTTAAAATTGTATGAATATTAATTATGCTTGGCTGAAGCTTTTTGCTTTTTTTTACTCGTAAGGTCGGTTTCGAACTCGATTCGAGCACAATGAGTTTGTTTAGAAGCAACTGTATATATACATTGTTTTTGCACAACAAATACTAATTTCTTTTCATTAGTCTACGACTTCATATGGTTGGAAAAATCAAATTTTCCAAATAATTAACTTCGATCACTGGAGTGAGATACGGATGACTCTTACATAGGTATAATTTCTAGTTCATAAGATCGTAATCCTTGCTAAAGACTTTAAAGACATAAAATATCATGTTGAAAGGATGTTTCTATCTTATTAGTATCAACATAGTTCAATGTACCTATAGTCAACATAGTCAATAGAACATACACGCCCAGTCAAAAAAAATATTATCATCAAATACAATATCATTTTGCATGCGAAACAAACTCGAACAACCTTTTCATATTTAAAACCCGTCTTCAGGCTGCTCTCTCAACTCTCATACAATTGCCAATACATCTCACTTTTCATTTATATAAAAATGCCATAATCCATCATGTCATTTTAATAAATCTTGTGCATATCAAGATTATACATAATTAAAGCAGCATAAAAATACAAAAACATACTATCCAACCTAATGAAGAATATTAATTCTGCTTCTTCCGCCTTTAATGTTGATTTTAATGTCATTGTATTCAAATATAAGTTCACTTGATACTGTTTCTACCCTGGCTTTTGCGAACAAACTTTGCTGTTCAGGATCATCCATAACCATCATATTTTGGTTTTCACCAATTTTGCTCAAATCGGAAAATGATGGTCCTTCGATCGTAGGTGGAATAGTATTGGTGGTGGTGGTGGTCTCATCGCTATATATAATTTCTTTTTCCTTCCTTTTTGGACGAGACTTTACTCGTTGCCAGATTTCAGGGTGATTGATGAAGAAATGTGTTTTTGCAGTGCTCTGCTTCAGAGGTTCACAATACGTTTTTAAACAAACGGAACATTGTCTGGTGGTCTGCGTTTCGTCAATAAATGGAAAAAATTTCCAAATATCGTGTTGTTTTTGTGCTGTCATTTTAGTTTTAAAGCTTATTAATCAATCAAATAGGTATCCTAGAACAACTTATAGATCTGTAAGAAAAAAACGATTAGACTATTGTATATCAATCAAATGGTTATACGTATTTGATAAAACGAGAAAAAATGTCATTACATTTTGTTGTCTTGTTGTCATTGCATTTTATTTGTAGTTTACTTATCAGTACATATTAGGGACCTACACGGGCCTAAAAATTAATAACTTTAATTTTGCCAGCCCGCAAAATAAAATTTATTATGTTTTTCAAAAGTTCGGCCCGCAATTTTGTGAGGTTTTGAATTTCGGCCCGGCCCGTGCTGGTTTCTAGTACATATTAGTTAGGGAATGTGTCATATCGCTTGATTTTACATACTGTATTTTCGCGTAATAACGCTCATGTGCGTTATTTAGAAATTTGTACTCTCAAAAAATTTTATATATAATCTCAAAATAACGCCCATGCACATCTTGAAATAATGTGAACCCCTATGAAATAATCATATAAAATCCTATAAATATCAATATTCTGATTTAGACTTTCATCTATACACAACGATAATACTACAGCAGACTCTTTACAAATGAAGATTTAGATAACTTGGAATTTACTCTACTCAGGCATACTTTATTTTTATAAATGTTAAGTTCTTGTTCAAGCAAAAAGCTTGAAAGAATAATAACTTTATAATAATTTTAATTAAAATAGATTGCAAATTTACAAAGTTTTATTTGGTATGAAGAAATCATTTGGTAAGTAACCTTTATGTTGCGCGATCTTGAAATAAAATAAAATTTGATTTTAGCATTGTTTAAGAAACTTTTTATATAAATAAATAGGTTCTATTCAATTCGCTTATGCTCTAAATCTAAGATAGCCTAACTGTATATTATGCCTTTATCATTTGATGATGTAATTTTATATAGTGAAAGATGTGTATAATAATTAAATCATTTAACCTACTGGTATTCTGATATTAAATAATAGTCGTCGTGTATTATATCGAAGTCTAAGGTTTTTGGAGTTTTAAGTACATATAATACAGTATTTTTATAGCAAATTTTATAGGTTTTTATATTAAAAATTACCAGTATATAGCTGTTCGCATTAAATATAAATAAACTCGTTTATTACTTTATATTAATAAGTTCTATATTATATATTTAGGCATTTATTTTTGGTGCACCCCGTTGATATCTCAAAATTTTACTAGAGTAACACTGTCTTATAACATAAGCAAAAATGTTCCTTGCACAATTCTATACTAGTCCAACCCTAGCCCTAACCTTAACTCTGACTTTAATCAAATAGTTGAGCTTATTTTGTTATAGAGTGCATTAGAGTGCAGGATGTACCAAATATAATTTTTCTTAATTAATTCTGCTATTTTTCATTTTAACAAATCACCAATCTCTTTATATTTTAATGCTAATTTCATTACTACTTCAACTATTCATTTTAATTTTGTCTTTATATTTTTTCAATTATGTCTTAGTTTTATTTTTATTAATTAAAATATCTTATTTCAAAAGGTTAATTGATATTTTTTTGATTGAATTTTTTTTTAGCAACTATAATAATATTTTATCTTATATTTATTTTTTTTAATTTTAATTTTACTATTAATATATTTAGTTTTAATAAAAAAATTATTTTACAAATTTTTAATATAAAAAATTCAAATTATTTGTATTATTAAAAAAAAATTGAATTTAAAAATTAAATAATTAAAATAATAATATATTTTAATTTATTAAATTTGCAAACAATTCTTAATATTTTTTATTATATTCTATAAATTTATAAGCAATTCTTTATATTTTTTTATTATATTTTATAAAATTTTTATATAAATTAAAATTAATAATTATTATATATTTAGTAAGAATTAAATCTATAATTAGGTTTAAAATATTTTTAGTTAATTATTAATACATTGTAATATTTTATTAAGAGTTATAATTAAGTTATTATTATTAAATATTATATGTTTATTTTTATAAAATTTTTATTTTTAAATATTATTATTTTTATAAAATTTTTATTTTTATTTTATTTTATTTTTTTTTTAACCTTAAGCAGTTACACTAATACTTTATTAAGATTCTTGAAACTAAATACATATAATTACATAGAATTTCCTAATACTCAAGTCTAGCATCACTCGGCCACCCTATTGGTACCTAAGTGCAACCTGTCACACTATCTCAGTTAGAGATAGACTGCTCGTTTAACTACTTAAAGCCATACCAGAAAGGTCTTCCCCTTTCTGTAACAAGTATATCGATTGTCTTCAAAACTTCTTCCTTCATTCAGTTCATTTTTTTTACTTCCTTTTCCTTTTCTTCTTTTTTTGTTGTCATATTCTTTTTTCCTCTTTTCTCTGATCTTCTTTTAATTCGAGCACCTTTTTTTATCTTGTTTGTTATATTAACTTCCTTTTCCCATTCTTATACTTTCCCATATCGAACTCTTCATACTTGGTTGAAGAATGTATTCTATATTGTTCTTGTGACTGATCTGCTTTCCAACTTTATTCATTGTTAGCTCTTTTATTAAAGCTGTCCTATTAGCAATTTCCTTTGCTTCTGTTTTTCCAAATAATGCCTCATATAGTACTAAAGGCAAAATTCTAACTTTTTCATTTTCTTTAAGGCTATTTTATGCTGCTGCTATTGCTACCTTTTGAATTCTCTTCTACAAACTTTTTTGTCCACTGCAGCTTGCTAGGTGTGCTTGAGTTTTCTTTTCACCTTCTTGACATACTTGGCAATTAGTTATTTTATATATTTCTGGTCTTCTTCTATTTAATTCTTCTAATGTTGGCAGGCCATCCATTATGCATTTAATCGTTGTTGCTCTTCTTGTGCTGAGTTTTCTTGATGTGCAATGAATACCTTTTGTTCTATTTATCTCTTTCCAAAAGCTTGACCAATTATATTGAGTG